CTTTGCCACTCTCGTTACCTCTCCAGCTCATACTGCTGAACAGGGCAGGGAGGGGAACCCCTCTGGCTGGGAACCAAAGCAATAACATCTGGTCAAAGGTGGCCATGGAGTTTATCCTGGTTTATTCTGAAATTAAATTCCTGCAAAGTAAGTGTCCATTAACCCCTCTGCTATTTCACAAGCACTTTCTTACAGAAACAGTGTCTCCCTTAAAGGGCTTGTCTCCTGACTGCACACAAACCACATCTGCTGAACTTAAAGATGAGACAAATTTTGTCATATTAATAGTTCTGAAGCCAGTGAGAAACCAGCCCAGCTCTAGGAAACCACACCCGATTCCCCCAGTACAAGCCCTTGTCCCCAGCTGAATTCACACACTGCCGGTCACCCCCACAGCTCCCTGCACTGCCACTGTTATGGCTGGTACCAGCACCCCAATGCACATTTACTCATTTCACTCTGCCCTGTGAACTGCCCTCACTGGAGGGAGATCTCCTGCTCCTGACACTGCAGTAGCACAGACACAGATCCATCACCCATCCAGGCACACAGGAGAAGGCAGAGCACACACAGACTCCTGTTCACACACACCCACACAGCAGGTGAAGTATTTTTATTGAACACATCAGAGAATCCTCAGCTGCTGTGGCATTTAATCCCTACCCAGCCAAAATGGAACCAAGACAGCTCACCAGCAGTCCCCTCTGGCAGTCAACGAGCACCAGCACCTTGGCTCCCAGTGCTCAGCACGAGGGTCACATTCCTGCTCTCACCCACCTGACAGGCCCCTGTCCACTCCTCCTCCCCCTGCACAGCTGCAGGGAGCTGGGCTCTGCCAGCCAAGCACTGACCCCCTGCTCCCTCTGCTACTGCTGCAAAACCACCCTGTGTATTTTGTCCTGCCATCCCCAATACTTTTGCCAACAAGAAACTCCAGACCATGTATTTTGCAGATATAAGATTAAAAAAATGAAACAAAACATGAGTGTTGTTACAAATCTTTAGCTTACCAAGAGCTCTCCTACTGACTATCATTCCATCCACCAAAGGGATAACCATATTGAATTTCCCAGTTGCTCCTTGCAGTTTTATCCTGAATAAGCCAGTGTTTAAAGGATGGATGAAGATCACAGGAACTTCCTTCTCAGGAGTTGCAGATCTTAAGGGAAAACCCACAACTGTTAAATCATTTTTATAGCACTGTTTCAATTAATCTATAGATGAGAAACAACCATTTTAAGTGTTAAAAGAACATCTCGTGGCTAAACCAGCAGGACTCCTGTGTGCATCCTCCAGTCTCCAGAAGGGCTGTGTTAACTGTACAGTTTCTCTGATCCATCACCACAGAATCTGTGAGTCCTACAGACAGGCCTTTAAGCCTCACAACACAAATGCAGCCTTAACCACCTCACAAGGGGGTAAATCAGGAGGGAGGCTAAACTCAAGCAAAAAACTACACATTTTATGTTCCTTAATTTATATTTAAACTGCAGTGACATGAAAAGCTCCTTAATTTTTTCAACAACAAAATCCAATGCAGAAACCCATCTGTTTTTTTTTTAACGTGACTACCAAGAGTTTTCAGGGTTCCCTGTGAAGGCTGAAGAATAAAAATTCTGTCAGTTATGACTTCTTCTGAAATGCAGTCTAAAGTGTTACCCACAAGAATCAAGAAAAATAATGAAAATAAGAGGAGTCTTACCTTAGGGAAGCACTACTATTGGCTGTGGTTTCCACACCAGTGCTCGTCTCAGACACCAGATCAGGGAGGGGAAAGTTTTCTGTAAGAAGAACATGCACTAAATTAAGTTGTTGATTTGGAGGTTATTTTTGTTGTTGTTGTTTGTTTTTTGTTTTTAAAGAAGAAGGATTATTTATTATCAGTCAAAACCATGCAGCCCTCAAGCATTTATAGCATGGATTTCAAGCACTGCTAGTGATGCAAACTGTGTGTTTTTAAGCTTAAGCATTCACGGAGTTTTAAGCTCAAGCATACAGGCACACCTCAGCCATCCTGTGCTCAATAGATTAAGGAACATGTCCCAGACTCTCAATATTAAAGGTCAAAATCTTTAGAGGAACAGTGAAAGCAAGAAAGAAGTGAAATACTTCAATTACAAAGAGCTTTCAAATTTTTATTCACCAGCATTTTCACCTATCCACAAGAAATCAGCCTCAAGAACAGTGCTGGGAATTTCCAGCGATGCCACTGCTCCCATCTGCAGGTCCCCTGAGCCCTGCTCCAACAGGCAATGTTTCTCTCCTCAAATCCAAGCTCTGCAGATCCTCACCATAACCTACAACTCTGCTGCCATGCACTTGGTAACGAGGTGGAGGAGGAGGAAGTAAGAGCTCAGATCCTCAGAAGGTGATGTGTGGCACTTCCCTTTACCTTCTTTAGGGGTAGAACTGAGAGAGATATTGAGAGTCATTCACAGCAGTACAGTTCAGCCAGCAGGACAGTGCCAATGCCTCTCTCAGCAGAAAGAGCAGAGGACCCAAAACCACCTTTTGCCATCTGAGCTGGGATGCCGAGAGCACACAAAAGCTGGAGCTAGCAGAGGGAGAGCACAGAGGCCCATGGACATACTGTGAGGTGGAGCAAGAGGGAGGGCAGGCACCTGGCACAGGGGTGACAGCCTAGACTACAAAGCAGCAGCTTTTTCACTGTCCAGATTCAAAGATGTAGCAGAAGCAGAAGGCAAAGCCTCCGGGCTAGGAGCCACTGTCAGGCACCCACCCTGCCAAATCCAACTGCCACAGTTACTGAGGTTCACAAACTCATTTCTTCAGCTTCAGGCCCAGAGCTCTAGGAGATTCCTGTGGCTGCTGAAAGAAGCAGCCAAGCAGAAACATGCATGTGTAGCACAGTTTCTGCCTCTGCAGTGAACTGGCTTTAGCTGCCACCCAAGAAAGAAGTGGGTCAGGGACACTAGTTTGAGAACTGAAGCAGCTGAGGGACTCCTGGAGCTAAGGGAACACCCCCTGGGCCAACGTCTACGCAAGGAAATAACGCTGCAGAACGTGATGTCCAGCTCCTGAGCCCAGCAGAGCTCTGAGGGGTGTGACAGGGACAATGTAGTCTTCCTGAGAATTTACACCTTCATGTTACAGGAAGCTTCCTCCTGACTGCTCCCATTCTTCTGGTTGCTTTCCTCTGGGAGAAGCTAAGGGCTTCATTAAGGTCCACCCTTACTGCCAGATTGGGAAAACCAGGATTAGAAATCAAAGATGGCATCAAGTATTGTTTACTGGCCAGTGTTACAGACTCTGCTGGGTTAGGCCAGTACAAAGAGGCTCTTGCATAGCTCTAAAGTCAGGCCATGGCTTAGAATCAGCACACAAGAAGCTCTTGGGGACAAAGGACTTCTCAAGCCTAGCAGCCAGCTGCCCACCATCATCCACACCATGGCTGTAACAGGCAAAGGAGGGGCAAAGCTGGGTCTCTCCCAGGTCAGCCAGTACCCAGAGCCAGAGAGGAAACACCAAGTTCAGAAACATTAAGTTGCATGAGGAGCACGACCCTTGATGAACAAAGGTGCAGAAAGGAAGCTGGACTGCACAGCACAGAAGGGGCACCCTGAGCACAAAATAAATGAGCCCTCCCACAAGAGAAAGCAAGAGAGACTTTAAAAAGGTATTGTCAAGCCCAGAAGGATGATGACCCCTTCAGCACAGAAGCAGCAGGTGTCAGGAGTATTTTTTTTTAAAAGAAAGAACAGCAGATCCACCCTGAGGAGACAGCAGCTGAGGGGAACTCAAAACCAGGGTGCACACTTTCCTTGTGCATTAAGTGTAAGAAGGTGCAGGACTGCATTTCACACATACTGCCAGAGCTGAAATCATCTCCAGACCCACACGTCACCGATTCATGGACACCCCATCGACCACCACTCAAATATCAAAGAACTGTTTTAGAATCTTAAAAGTGTTGGTTACAGACACTAATAAGGGTTTACTATTGCAAAGAGGAATGGAATGGAGTTTTTCCTCCAGTTCCTGCCCTGTTGTTACTTTAGTGAACAATAAAAGCTTCTACCCACCTATGTCATCGTAACGCTCCACCCAGACCACGTACACTTTGGTTTCAGGTCCCATTGGTGGAATGGTCCGGCCCTGAGGCACCCTCTTGGATCTGGAAGTAGGACTGAGCTGTTGTGGACACAAGGGGAGAGCAGGATTTGCAAACATCATGAGTCCAGTAACACATCCAGTGAGGATTTCCACAGTTGCTCCTCAGTCCTTCAGACCTCAGACAAGTACGACCTCTGCCAGCTGCTGAGCTGGGGCAGCTGTGGAGGCACTACCCACTGAGCAATAGTCATCTGGGTCTTCACAATATTTAAATTCAAAATAAATTAAGATATCAAATACTAAAAAACTGGTTCAGGTTTTTCTTAATGTTCTCAAAGATCTTAAATCAGTAACTAAACATACATGTGGAAGTGAATTCTGTACAAGAAATCAGCAGTTGTGAGTCCTTTGCTGTTACAGCAATTCGTGGCTTTCTGCTTTGCTACCACAGAAAAGCAACTTCTCAAACTTCAGATGCAAATGACACACACTATTCTAAACTGGGTAGGTATGAAAAATGTTCATGTTTATCTATCCTAAATTTCCAAGCATCGATTTGAGTCTGAACTACTCTGTAAACACTGTATGTATTTTCTCCTGCAGGTATCTGAAGACTTCAGTATGCAGAGTATAACTACTTAGCATGTTTAAGTTTGATACTTAATTAATCTGATCTTGCAATCTCCTGCTGCACCTGGAAACCAAAGCAGATGTTAAAGACTAATAGCCAAGAATGAGTAGCTTCAGCTGCTAGGAAAGCAAATCACGTGCTATCAAAAAATGCTGCAGCATCACCAATGTGCTGCTTAAAAAAAAAAAATAGTGCCATTTTTCAATGCAAGTTTTGTCTTACCCGCTGGGAGGGATTAAGATTGTCTGTATGATTGGGGAAGAGTTCAAGTGTCAGAGACTGCTGCTTCAATATTCCTGGCAGCAGATCCATGTTGGAGTCACTTTCTTGGTCGGAGACATTGCTTTCCAGTGAATCAGCTGTTAAGCCAGAAGAAGGAAGGTGAGTTTTGTCTCTTCTTCTGCCATAAGACTTAAGCTGTCATCATATGCAACATTTTGAAACTAAAAACATTGTAAGGTCTTTGAAGCTAAACACAGATTTATGGTCAAGTCACTATAGCACTGAGAAGATTCAGCAGTAGACAACCGCCAGTTGCTCCAGAAACAGACTGCAATTAAAGCATTCCCTATGGATTTAGGAGTGTCCCATCCACTTCTTGTGGAATAGTCTCCTCCTTCCTATGGTTAACATTTCTTCACAGCCCTTTCACTCCAGTGCAGAAGCTGCTGTGAAAGCTGTTGCTCACCTACACAGCAGCTGAGCACATGCTGCCCAGCATGCTGCAGGAGCATGGCACCGAGGCAGGAGAGGAGGAAGGAGAAGCATCACCAGCTGATGGTGAGCCACACGTCCAGCCTAGTGCACCAGGGGAGCAGCAACTGCTGTGCCAACCCAGGCACACACTGGGGCTGAGACTGAGAAAAAGGGGCACAGAACAGACACCACCTTAGGAAGGAGACTACGGATTAGGATGTTGTAATTACAACATCAGCAGCTTTCTGACAAGGATCTTGCTAGACATCCTTAGATTATTTATTTTTCTGAAAAAGCTCTTTAACAAAAAATAAAAAGCTTTGTTTTTTTGTGAGCAGCATATCCAGAGATCTTACTTAGGGACTCCACTGCTGACGGGACAACGAAAGCGATTTCTGTCAGGGCATCTGCGTAATACAGCACCTTCTTCTGCCCGTTGAAGATACTTGCCCCAACATCTTCTGAAATAACTAGATCATCTGAAATGGACATAGAAGGAAAATTTAGTCAAAAGGAAGCTCCACCTCTTTACAGACTGCCTCGGGAGAAGACCTTCAAATACAAGGTGAAATCAATGAGAAGAAATCACGCAACTCTCATTTTAAACTGAGAAGATTTCACAGTTAAACCTCAAGGCTAACAACATTCTCAGATAAACTTTGTGACCTGGAAGGAAGTGGCCTTTTGGGTTGGGAGAGGATTTATTCTGTGTGTTTGTTGTACTGCATACCCTATTTCCCTCAGACTGAGCAGTCTAGTAAAGCATGTCTGCCACAAGAATCCACACAGTAGCTATTTCTAACCGTTCCCTCTAACAGCTATCGTTCAGTTAGAACCCTCTGGAAATTTAATGACTAACATCTATAACTTCAGTCTGATACCATGCTACAATTCAACCCAGCTTTTATGGACTCCCCTCTGTACCGTGTCTTCTGCCAAGGAGAGCTAGAAAAAGGCTCTCCTGAATCAAAGTGAATGCAAGAAAGCTCCTTGTTCTCAGCACCCATTTACTGCCCCCCAAGCTGGCCAGTACATCAGGCCTCTGCCCCCCAAGCTGGCCAGTACATCAGCCCTTCACACCACAGAGGAGACAAATTCTTTGGTGGAGCCACGCTATAAGTAAATTACAACACCCCCTCTTCTCCTCCCCCATACCTCCTCCAGAAAGACTTGTGAGGCCTTTAAGGTGAATTATTTCTCTGATGCAGTTCACATGAGGGTTGCTGGGACAGCTGCTGCCTCAGCACACCCAGTGGAGCAGTGGCACTCAGCCTGCTGACAGGGGTGGCCAGAGCCAGGAGCCCCTGAGCCAGGCCCCACCACCACGGGAGCACTCCTGCACCTCCAGCACACAGCTCTCAGGGAGCAGCACAACCTGAACCCAGCTGTTCAAGAACTTCTTTGCTTTTGGGGGTGTGCAGGGAAACAAAACCAAAGCATACGCCTGTGAATTTATTTTAATCACATCTCACTGGAAGCTATTCTACAATGACAAAATCATTTAGGTTGGAAGAGACCTTTAAGATCATTGAGTCCAACTGTTAACAGAGCACTGCCAAGTCCACCACCAAACCACACCCCTCAGCATCACATCTACAGGACTTTTAAATACCTCCAGGAACAGGGACTTCACCACTTCTCTGGGCAGCCTGTCCCAGGGCTTAACAACCCTTTCAGGAAAGAAATTTTTCCTAATGTCCAAATTAAACCCTTCCCTGGCACAACCTGAGGCTGTTCCCTCTTGTCCTACTGCTTGTTCCTTGGGAGAAGAGACTGACCCCCATCCAGCTCCAGCCTCCTGTCAGGGAGCTATAGAGAGCCAGAAGGTCTCCCCTGAGCCTCCTTTGCTCCAGGCTCAGCACCCCCAGCTCCCTCAGCTGCTCCTCACAATTCTTGGGCTCTAGACCCTTCCCCACCTTTGTTGCCCTTCTCTGGACATGTTCCAGCCCTTCAATGTCCTTCTTATAGTAAAGGGCTCAAAACTGACCCCAGGATTGGAGGTGTGGCCTCACCGGTGCTGAGTCCAGGGGAACAATCCCTGCTCTAGTCCTGCTGGCCACACTAGTGCTGATGTAAGATGGGATGCTAGACTCCTGAATGAATTGTCAATCACCAGAGCCCACCACAAAGAGAAAATACATTTAACAAAATAAATAACTTTAGTCACAGCAAAGATTGGAGAAGTAAAAGCAAGCAATCTTCATCAGCTGGTCCAAGCCTACTTTAAATCTACCATTTCAGTTTTTAGCCATTGCTTGCTAAAGGTACAATTCCACTCATGGGTTCTTCCAACAGCAGAAGCAGACTAGAAGTAGTTCCCCCTCCCCCTTCCATCCCTGACTGCTTTTTCTGTTCCTTCTTTCCCAATTTGTTGAATTAATTCAACTATTTGGTGGTTTGTGATCTAATCCTAACGACTGAAAAAAATCCAAGTTAGAAATCCCACATGAAAACAGGTTACCTCACTGCTTCAGGGCACTGTCTCCCACACAGCCCCACTGACAAAGCCAAGTGGGAGGGAAGGGAGAGGGCTCTGCCCTCAAGCACAGCACAGGCTGATCCTGTCCTCAACGGACAGCTGAGCCCAGACCTGGCCATTCTGTGAGCTCTCCTGAGTTTTCCAGAGAAAGCCAGGCCTCTGTTCTCTTAACTTCTCCCAACATTTCAAGCCTTCCATCATTTGTAGTTTTATTCTACAAATAAAGAGAGAAGTCTTTGGTTGGCCACAGTTAGATGTGAAGAGCATTTCCAAGGCACAGTGAAGGGAAGGCAGAGCAAGAGCACTGTGTAAGCAGCTGCACCAGCAGTGGTGATGCACTGGATGCAAACGCCAGGTCAAGGACACTGGATGAGCTGGACCAGCCTGTTCAACACCTCTGCACAGCCCACAACAGAGGTGAAGGCTCTGAAGAGCCCCAAGTAAAAGTCTGGCCCTTGGAGCAGTGACCACGAACCACACTGAAAGCAACTCAGACACTATCAGAATCCCATTAAGCTGTTCAAGGCAGAAGCTGACCTGACCTCCAGTTCATCACCCTGGGACAGCAATTCACTACCCTGAGGTTCATTTTGGTTGACAGAATGGGGAGAGGGTGGTCTATGACAAGCCCAGAGGAGGAGTTGCTCTAGTGGAAAAAAGCAGAGTAAATTAGGCAGGACAGAAGAGCTGTGTGTGGGCTCTAACCACTGTGACCTACAAACAGCAGCTTGTTTTCATTACTTCCTACCAGGCATGATTGCAAGGCGAACTTATTAGTCAACATCTCATTTTAATCTCCTTACAGAACACTAAAAAATGCACAGTATTTCAAGTCTGTTTGCCAATATACAGTACAATCTGTATCCAATTTCACCCAAATACTGGTTTCGGATAATAAAGACTTTGGATAATAAAGACTCATCATTTAGTCTGCTAAAAATATAGCACAGAGGTATTTCTTGCAGAGGCTGCTTCCTCCAAACAACATATAGACAACAGATTTTCCCACTTTGAATTGAAGCTTAATCTTATATTTACACATTCCTTTTTAGTAAACATCAGCATTTATCTGAAAAAAAATATGCAAGTGCTCAGAGAGATATCCAGATGCAAGAGATTTTAAATTGTCTTCTAAAGGAGCCAAAACATTCAGATTTGATATTACAGCATTTACTGTGTCTTACCTTGCTCAGGTACCTCTTCATCACTGCAGCTATTGATTGACCAGCTTGTTGAGACATGCCCAGTCCACCCAGGGTGCTTCCCCACATCAACAGACCAGCCAAGAGACAGCAAGAACTCCAGGAAGTGTGGCTGAACAATTCTGGAAGACTCCATGTTCTTCAGGATCTGAAACAACCAGCAGTGCTGTGGTAGGTACAGGAGTTCTTCCTCCTCATTTTTTTAATTAAAACTTTGTGTCACCATGGTTTTGCCCAAACACAGCTATTAAGCATGCTTGGAAGCCCAAACTCTCTACACTGACACCACTCCCTGCTGTCCAGCATCCTCCCACCCTGTTTGGCAATGTCCTGTTTCAACAACTTGTCTTTCTGCCATCATCACTGAAGTCTCTAAAACAGGTAATCAAATGACTAGAAATGGCAATTTTGAGATTTACCACTCATCAGGGACAAACCACAGAACTGTTTGGCACAGAATCTACATTGGCACCAAATGTAACATGAGAATTTTCTAGACAATTTTCACTACTAAACTGAGGTGAAATTTTAGGAGAAAGGTATTTTATCACTACTCTCCTGTACATGACACACAGTGATTTAGAAGGCAGGCCTCACTACACATTGAACTTATGAAACAGGTTT